ATATATAGTATAATATTTAAATTCATTTATATAAATAAGTTAAGTCCATATGTTTTATGCATTTTATTGAAATTAGAAAGCGTTTGCACGCATCACAACAAACCTATAGTGAAAGCAATTAATTTAAATAAATTAATGAAATTTATGCCAATAGACTATTACCGCAAATGCTAAATAAATCAATCGATCGAAACAAGCGAATAGAAATAAAAGCATTTTTATACTACTATTTGTGAACCCATTTATATAATTTAAATAAATTAATGAAATTTATGCCAATAGACTATTACCGCAAATGCTAAATAAATCAATCGATCGAAACAAGCGAATAGAAATAAAAGCATTTTTATACTACTATTTGTGAACCCATTTATATTGGGCTATCTCTCAATCGCCAATTTACCAATAATACCAATATTTAATTGAAAAATTATTTAATATTGTAAAATTCAAGATGATTTATGTACTGTATACTGTATTATATTCAATCACAAACATAAATTGTCAAATAAATTATAAACAATAACACGACATGATACTATTGTACTAGACAAAGTTTAAGTTTCATAAAATTTAAATCACATGAGCCCAAGAATTAAACAGTATTAATTAATTATATAACCATAATTTAATTGTTATAAATAAATCAATGATTTGAAAATTGATTATAATTGAATGCCGATATTTAGGTGTTCCTCAATCATAACCCAGATATATGGCGTCAATTTTGAGGAGCTGGTGATTGAAGAGCACGGAAAATATGCGGGTTTACAGCAAACAGAAGGGGATTACGAGACACTGGGCGAGCAGTACAGTCCGCCCCAAATACACGGACATAACATTAAATATAGTATCGGGGATGTCGTGGACCTGAACTGCTCGACAACAGCCGTATCGCCGCCACCACTACTCGAGTGGTTCATTAATGGCAGAGAAGTATTGCTCAAGAATTTTATCATCTATTACTCAATCCTTTTTGTGTTATCCGTTATTTTTCAACACTATTCATGTGTTGCAAACGCCGAGAATATTCTCATTTTCGTTAAATCTTTTTTGTTACGATTATTTTGTTGTGTAAATCGATAGTAATTTTTCGGTTTGTATTTCTAACCGGTATTTATTGCTCTCCCTTTCATATCACAGGCACTCAAAACTCAACTAATCATTTATAGTAAACCTAAGGAACCGAACGCTAATCTAATGTTCAGTTCATCTATTTATGACAACTTCGCCGACTTTGAAGCTCATAGAAAAGGCTCTGTTTTGGGATTACGCTTTCAAATCACTAAAGAACACTATCAGGTGTCTGTCCAAACTATTACCAATTACTTCAACCAAGCACACACAACAACAAACATACCAGTGCCAAACACACTATTTTTAGCAACATTGCTATATTGCTATGTTTTATGTGCTATTTTGTTATTAAATATCCGAAACACAAATACACTATTATCGGGATATAAAGATTTTTATTATATTACTATAACTAGTATTGCTTGACATTTGCAGACCTCTGACGGCAAACTGAGGCTGAGATGTAGTGCCACTCATGCGACCATTATTGGCACCGACACCACAGAACTGGTCCTGTTTTCGGGCGGCAGACAGAGCTCATCGTTATTCGCCTCTTATGCCANTTCATTAATTTATTTAAATTAATTGCTTTCACTATAGGTTTGTTGTGATGCGTGCAAACGCTTTCTAATTTCAATAAAATGCATAAAACATATGGACTTAACTTATTTATATAAATGAATTTAAATATTATACTATATATTACTTATTAATAAAAACCATATATAATGTAAATGAGAGAAATAATGATAAATTCTGTGCAATAAATAATATATAAATTCTAATTTATTTGCAATTTAAGAAACTTTTCAAGAAAATAATGTCGAGTTATAACTTATAAGTAAAATCCAAATTGATTTTCAACATAACTTTTTGTGCACTTTAAATTCAAAATTGAAATAATGTATTGAATTGTAACATAAAATTCTGGGCCTAACTGTGCGTTTGAATGTGTTTTGAGCTTCTCTATGTTAACTCAATTGATTGAAACTGTATTTCTCTCTCGGTTTCGACCCTTTCCTCCTACGGTTCACTACATATATTTGGGTCATACATGAGCTCCTAATTTGAGTTTATGGTCAATAAATATATCTTAGCGTAAGTTTAGTTTCAGATTGGGATAATTTTTTGCTACTACCAAATTCAGCCCTATGTTTGCGAATAAATGAATAAAATATATATTTAAATAATAAATAAGTTTTTTGCATAATTTTCACTTTAAATTTAATGCATCAAAACTTATTTTGAATATATTATCACTTATTTTCTTTTTACAAAATTTCGATTTACAATTAAAAATAATCACTTTTGTCATTATTTATATTTTATTTGTCTGATATTAGATAACCATTGGCTGATAATATATTTGCCATACTATTGATTGAAGTGAATATACATTATAGCGAAAAGGGATATAAAGAGTATTATTGTAGTGAATGTTTGAATATTGGATATTCTATTGTATTCATAGTGTATATAAATAGTGTAGTAATTCATTGTGTGTAAAGACATTGGAGTCATTGCATTATGTGAGTGCATAGAGTATGGATGGGTATGATAGTGGATGTATAGGATGTATACCTTAATGCCAGAACTCCATTAGACAAATGGTGGTCATTAGACAGCAACGAGAGACTAATGCCGAGACTCGACGACACGAGTCCATCAGATGTGACATCAATATCCGGATGGCTTAAGTTGATTCGGGGGTCGTTCCCCACAACCTTTAAAATATACACCAATTATATAGAAATGAGAGTAATGTCTGAGAATTATATAAAAGCAAAAAATATATATATCCATAAAACTGAATGTTTATTCATAAAAGATATGATTATTGCTAAACGTGTTTGATTTGTAATGCGATTACACGTATAGTTATGAAATGTATACTAAATTTATGTGTAGTGAGTGAAAAGGGCTTACTCTAAGGCCATTAACAAACCAGGCCAATATTTGAACTGGCTTAGACTTGGTGGCCATACACGTCAAGTTGAGCACATCCTCTCCCATCTTATACTCCGGTTTGGATCCAATTATTTGTATTTCTCGCTGCGGCAGCACTACGGACACCGAAACGCAGATTGAAAATCGTATATAAATTGAATATATATTATAGTCATCATAATAACAGTTAAAGTGTGTATTACTAACAAAACTTAATTCAATTTTTATCGCTAATCTCACAGCGAAATCCTATTTACGGTTTACTTTTACTTTCTTTTATAAAAACAGTTATAAGTTGTGTTCCGAATGCAGAATGGATTCAAACTTTTTAATTATTGATATGTGTTTGTGATTAAGAAATAGGAGTTGCATTCACTGTAAGGAAGGGTAGGTTTGGCTAACTGTAAGGGCTGATAGTGTTAGCAAAGGTACGTTGCTAACCATCAATATATGTAAACCTTTTGCTCCGTATAGACGAGAAGTCAAACCCAAATTCAATATTAAGGAATAAAAATGAAGTTTTATTTGCTTTCATATGACTTTTGATGTTTTCATTGAAACTCAACTAATGTTTGCCATTGAAATGATTGCAATTTATATGTATTTTCCGCTATATCTCTCTATTTATGTTATGTTTCTCTGCTTTTAATGATTACTTATTTTAGTATTTGTTTAATTCAACAAATAATATCAAAATTGAGTTCATATTATATGAGAGACAGTGTATATAAACTGAGGACATGTGTTTGGTTTGGGAAGCCTACTAACAAAATAAGCGCAATCAGGGTTTGGATTAGTTTTGTATTTATATTAATAATTCTGTGTTTGGAAACACGAATCGCTCATCATATTGAGCCAAATGTTTATTAATATATTTATTATTTTATTGGAAAAGCCTTCAAACTTTCAAATAGTATTCCGATCAAAATGTGTGAAATAAAAATATTCAAACCATTCAATTATTTATAAAAGAGATGTTTGCGAATAACTCACAGAATTTATCACTTTGAATGTCAAAAACCATCCAAAATACTATCTTAAGCTGTGATAAATTGAGTTGAAATCATATGTAATATTCAAATTTCATATAAATATTTCATGAAAATATATTGAATAGAATAGAGTCGACTACAAAATTTTTGAGAAATCAATTGTTTTATTAAATAGAGTAATAACACAAAAAATATAATATATAATATAACATCACTTTATTGTGAGGGGGAATGAAAAGGATATTAGTTTTCATCTTAATTCAAAACTCTTACATATGTTTGGAGTCTTTGAGTTTAATATCAAAATTCCTTTTATAGAGTAACTAAACATTATTAATATCTGAATATATTTCAAATTTTCTCTTTTTTATCAAAAAACTGTACTTAATTTTGTGCTTCACTTTAGATAAGAAATGAAAAATAGTTTTCAATTCATACGATATGTCTATTTCTTGACTAAATATTTTATTAATACTTTTTTAATATTTATTTTCTCTTCAAACAAGTGTTTGGCGAAAAAAGTGAAAATGATATGAAATTTATTATTAAAATAGTATTTTATAAAAACATACCGAATATCCTTAAATCCTTAAGTCGCTTCACCTTTTAAAGTTTAATGAATTAAAATGAAAATAATTCAAAAGTTATTTGACATTATTTGAAAAAAGTTTTCAAAATCAATATAAGTGTCAAACCGATTCAAATGTCGTGGTGGACACCTCTGCCATGTATGTGCCCTCAGTGTTCAAATCAGTAGTCTTTAGGAAAACATGTGTTGAATTGGATTTTGACATCTTTGTCGGTATAGAATTCAATAAAGAAAAGTCAGTGAAAAAGTGCACTCAATTCATGTGTAACTCAAGGGAGAAGGAGTCTAGAAGTATGAGATAACTGTGCGATCCATGTCTCACCTCCACGTAAACCCCGATCTGATTGAAAACTCGTTGAATGGGTGCTCCGGGTGTGGAGTCGGGCTCATTCATGTAGCGATAGAATTCCAGATTGTTTTTATACCTTTAAGTCAGTCCACAAATAGTCAAATATAATGCTATTTTACAATTGATTTGTGTTTAGATAAATATATTTATAGTTTGCATTTGTTTGATATAAACAAAAAATGTTTTGTATTGTCATAAGAGTTGATACCATTTAACAGAATATAGAGAATCCATTTCGAGATCGTAATCGCAGTGAAGCCAAACGGATGAACCGCTTTTCACGACAGAAGGGATGTCCAGTCGGAGGCGGAGCGTCACCACACGGTCTATGGGTAGAGACACGAGAGTCAAGAAATTAGATTTAAAGCAAAATAATTGAATCAATGATTGATTGCATAGAAATAGAGATTAGTTTATTGAATGAAACTTAAAAACAAAACTCGATATCATATACACAGTGATCGAGTAGAGAGAGAGAGAGAGAGAGAGAGAGAGAGGGAGAGAGAAAAGTGAGTGAATAATAAGGATTACGAGTCTATAGAGTGTTGTAATGTGTTATGTGTTATGTATTGCGTGTGATATTGGATGAGACAAAACAAAATGCGAATAAAAGCCAAGAGTTGGCTGTAATGTGTTGTGAAGTATGATTACGTACTGATGGGTCATTTGCGGCCATACCGTACCAATACGACTGGCCGTACAGTTAGCGCTAGTGTTTTGTGTCAAAACAGTGTCACGCGATATACGAATATTGTCTGAATTAACTGAACGGACATTATTTGTCCGATTCATAGCCCAGTCATCAAAAGTGTTTATAAGAGGGACGTGTAGTCAGTGCTCAGTAGGTCTGCAGGTCTGCACACAAACCAATTCTTTGTTAGTTTTTGTAATTAATGTCTAAACAGAATATATATATATAACTAACAGAATATATATATTGCGAGCCATTGGAGAGATAATCGTAAAACAAAACAATTGAATCATTAAACGACAACTTTAATTAAGTTTTGATTTGCCAATAAAATTATTGCCAATAATAAAGGACTCGTAAAAATGCGATTCTGTTGTGACACTTGACTCCCCTATCAAGTCGTTATCAATGCTATTAAAAACTTGTTTTTACAATAAAAATCAATCATTCATAACATTTTATTATTTATTTAAACCGAGAAATATTAATAAATAAATATTTAATTATCGTAAGAATTATGATATCCATTAATTAGTGCTGTAGAAATATTATTAAATTTCAATGGACATAGCAAATGAACAGTTCAGTGAATAATATATCCTTAAGTTTGACTTTTTTTATTAATTATTGTGGGTTTTGTTATTAATCACAACCAAAGTAATTCCAGAAATACCTTAGTTTATGAATTAATATATAATAAATATACAACTGACACTCAATCCATTAATAAGTCGCTTATTAATATATTATTATATATTATTTGATATATTAGTAAACTGCATGCCATTGCAATGACAATTGATAAATAAGAATATTAAAGAATTAGATTTTACATTAAATAAATAAATATAAAATTAATTTTTATATGTGTAGTTGCACGGTAATATCATAATATATTACACAATATCTAAGGTAAAATAAAGTGCACATAATTTGTCCCTTTATAGCATTAAATATTTGTATGAATGCGACTATAAAAGACATTTAGATGTTATGCAACGTTAATATGTTGTACAGTATATCAATAGTATTGATGGGATGCCTTAACAAACAAATTAATGTGTTGTGATATTGTCTAATATTGTCTAAACTTGTCTTTTAGTGTCTGTTGTCAAACAGACTAATATTTAGCATACATTGGTCTGGCATTTGGATGACACAAACATTATCTAAGTTAACAGTGCGACCAATTTGATTGAGTGTACAATCAATACACAATACAATACAATAGTATAGAAAATAGTCTGTCTTTGCGTGCATTTTCCACACGAAATACTAGACAACTCTTTGCAACAAAAATAGGAGATTACAAAAAAAGCATTCATATATGTGGTCATACATATGGTTATAGCAGATTCCTGTTTTGATTATCTAATGTGAATTAATTTCCATATACAGGACTCGATTAAACTGAACGAAACAAACTAAAATAATTATTGTAATGATAATCACATCCAAACAGAAATGTATTTTTAGACAATATTTTTATATAATATTATAATAAACATACAAGCAGAATGGAAATGCATATATTGTTATTGTTATTAGTTTTGCTAATATATATAACTTTTCCTTATAAACCGCCTCAAAGATACAACACATAGCTCTGTATAACATAAAAATAAATTGAAAAGAAAATTGAATGAAAAATAGAAAAGAATTATTCTTTTCTACATTTCTCTCTCTCTCTCTCTCTCCCTCCCTCTCTCTCTCTCTCTCTCTCTCTCGCATCTATGTCTCTATACTTTTATATTGAATTTTATTTTATTTTATTGTAATTCTAGAACTTTTTAAGATTGCAATTGCTTTCTGCAAAAATAATATATATAAGAATATAATAATAAAAAGTGTAACAAAATAATGAAATTCGTGCGAAACTCCTGATTTACACACAAACGGAGCCAACAATGATTTGTTCGCTCAATATATCACTTGTTTTTTGTGTGAGTTTTTCATGTTTTGCAAAACTCGTGTAAATCTTTATTTCAATATTTCTTTTATGTTTCAATTATTTACAAAAAGTAACACAAGAGATGAGAATATAATAATAGACGAGTGAAATAAATTTCTAATCTCTATTTATTTATTATTTACACAATAATTATTACATAATTATCTGTAGAGTACTTTCAATTTAACTGTTTATACATTTCGAGATGATTTGAAAAGAAAAATTGATAAAAACATAATTTCAATAAGTAAAAGTTACAATATTGTTATAGTTATGGTTTAATGTGAAAATGTATTCAAATAAAGTGCATATATTTTATAGTGATTTGTATTTTCCGTTTCCGAGCAAATCATCTCTAAAAGCATGCACTCATTAAACACAAACATAATGTTATATAATGTTAGCCACAAGTTATTGGAAGTAATTTAAAACTATTTTAACTTTATTTCAAAGAGTAGAGCACTTATATGTGCCAAATGACACGCAAACCAGTATATAATAAACACTATTTTATGTTTTTGACAAACTTTAAGTTATACTCTAAATTGACAAATAAAAAAGTTTTCAGAAACAAGAGAGAATACTCAATAAATATGTTATTATTATATGGTCTGAAAAAATGAAGTTTTCAAATTATGAGACCACGTATTCAAAGTATAACTATAGTCTCATAATATGAATAAAATAATAATTTGCAATAAAAATAAATTTTAATAACTGATCAACAAAAATTATTGCAAAAGCCTTTCATTTTATTTACATTATATGAGACGAAATAAAAAAAGTTTATAAATATTTATTACACTTAAAAATATTTTTTGGTTAAAATAAATTTCAAAAAACGCTTTGAATAATTCATCGCAAATATGAATCGCATATAATATACTATATATGCATATAATTTGTTTGTAAGGATTAAAGAGATGGATGACTCGAGTGTGTGTTCGGTCTCTCATATTCATTGTGTGAATGCATTTTGATGTTTAGCATCCGATTCCTCCGATGCCATCACAAATAGTCTCAGGAAGTGTTGTAATAGTGGGGGAGCCCTTCATTTTGTGATCTCTCTCTCTCTCTCTCTCTCTCTCTCTATCTCTCTCTCTCTCTCTCTCTCTCTCCGCATCCCATAAATATCCCATAAATAAGCGCAAATAGAGTGCAATGTTTAGTCAGAGTAGCGAAACAGTGCATTAAACCACTGTATTATACAATTGTGTCCAATATTTACCAGTTATACAACACATCTCGAGCCGTACACCTGAACTCACTTATAGGAGATATTTGTTGGCCATTAAATCAATCACTGACTCTATAAATGGCAAAACATTTCTACCTTCTCGTTGTGTCTCAATCTCTTGTACGTGTAGTATATCTTAATTACTTCTACAGAATATTCCTTTAAATAACTTTAATATAATTGATTGCATTCATAATACTGTACTGTATTTGCAGACTACGAGAGATACGATTTATGGCTCATTACATGCTATTAGAAAGTTTTGGTACCAAAGAATTGATTTATACTTAATTACTTAAACAATAAACACAATTATATTTATTTAAATTTCTCACGTATAGTGTGCAGTAAACTGTGAAAACGATATCTGAGTCTTATCTGGAAAACTAAACCCAAATTGAAAATTGTTTGTTAACTAAACTATCGGCGAATGATTGAGTGATGTTTAACACACAAGCGTTTGCTTCAAAATGTTTGAAATTTGGATTGAAGTTTGAATTCAGTTGAGTTGAACGCAAGAATGCGAGCTTCGGATCCAATCTTTTAAAGTAATCTTAAATATCAATCGACAGAAATGTTTAAAAATAATACCAAATAAATATGAAAACATATCACATTTCAAAAATGTGTTTTTAACTATCAGATGAACAATCGCTTTAAGATAAATTTTCATAAATTTCAAACAAATTAAATAAAAATACATTCAAATGGGTTAAAATCTCCAAGTAATAAGTGTTTCATAAATAATTCGTAAACTATAAATATTAATTTTAAAATTGGTTTTATAAGTATGTTAAAAATAAATCTTGTATCTATTTCTAGTATATCAAACCGGAATAACTTATTTTACAGTGGATCCAATTTATTTATATTAAAATATAACTTATTGTAAATTCACCGTGCAAATATTCTACAATACAAGTTTTCATTATTTATAACACTTTAAAGGGCTTTAAAATATTTTTATATGTAATAAAGATGTATAATTAACTAAAAATACTAATATTATATTAGCGATACAATTTATCAATATTTTAAATGTATTAACAAATTAAAGTGTTAAACATGTTGTTAATATTCATTTGCTTATCGTTGACTAATAGCTAAGAATAGTGAGATAATGTTATCCAAAATAGGATTTACACTCTTATAGTGATTAATAGCCAAATGACAAGTGATTAATTGCATTAATGTTCACAAACATCTCTTTTTCATTAGCACACAAATTATTATTATTTATGATTATGTTTGTTCAGTCAATGACTTAAATACAATAAAAAGTAACTGAATATATAATTGGTTTTTATATGATTACAACTATAACTATTTTAGAAAAGGCATCAAAATATATTCAAGTGAATGAAGTAATAGCCCAAAAAAGTGTTGCAAAGAATACAGGAGTGATAACTGAAAATATTATTATATTTGTTCAACACTTGGATTATTATATTTCTTATTCTCCGCACAAAACCTCTTCTCAAACCAGAAAAAGAAGAATAATTTCATTACAAATATAATACAATTCTATTAAATATACTCTTATTTTGTCATTTCGTTGAACCCGAGGAAGAGGAGTGCAATCATATATCGATTCAAATAATCATCAAAATAATAATATCATTAAATTAATCATTTACGGCATAGAAGATCATATTAAGAGTTCCGAAATGTTAACACATTTTTAAAATAAAGTCTTCATTCAATTATTTAATTACATTAAAAGGCTGTTCACTAATTCACTAATACTTTCTAATTAACAGACAATTCTTTGATTTTAGTTTTGATTAACACACGAGT